AAAATAAAAGGGGAGGTGGTTTGAATACACCATGTTGTGTGATTAAAATAAAAAAAATAAATAAAATAAAATAAAAGGGGAGGTGGTGTGAATACACCATATTGTGTGATTAAAATAAAAAAATAAAAAAAAATAAAAAAAATAAAATAAAAGGGGAGGTGGTGTGAATACACCATGTAGTGTGATTAAAATAAAAAAAATAAAATAAATAAAATAAAAGGGGAGGTGGTGTGAATACACCATGTAGTGTGATTAAAATAAAAAAAATAAAATAAATAAAATAAAAGGGGAGGTGGTGTGAATACACCATGTTGTGTGATTAAAATAAAAATAAATAATAAATAAAATTAAATTAAAAAAAATAAAAAAAATAAAAAAATAAAAATAAAATTAAAAAAATAATAATAACCCTGACCCTGACCCTGACCCTATCCCCCTGACCCTGACCCTAACCCTAACCCCTAACCCTGACCCCTAACCCCTAACCCACTAAGTGTAACCCTAGAGGGCAGGAGGACTGGAGGCAGCCTGCCCACCACCGTTCAAGCAGCAGCACCAGTCCTGCCCACTGTGCTTGCTGAGGGACATATGTGTTTGCCTACCGAAACTGGAACAAAACAGCTTCTCGGGATCCTCTGCCTCCACATGGCAAGTTCCCTGGAGAAAGCAAAATGAAACAGCTGCTTAAAAATTAACAGTGGGAGAAGATGCTTCCTTGTGTGCAAAGGGGTGCCCTTCTGAATAGCTTTTCATCTTTGAGCTTCCCAGCTGTAACGCTAACCTGAAGTACAGGAAGGTTACAGTTAGGTTGCCCTTTGCAACATGCTATTTACCTAAAGTGTATGATGTGTATGATGTTTACCACTCACTATCCCTAAAATGAAGCCCATGGAGTCTTTATTTCTGTTGAAAATGAAATGCTACTAATTCAGTTTAAGCAACATAGAAATTAATTTGCCTTAATTAAATTATAAATAAATTAAATTATAAATAAATAAAATAAATAAATAATTATCTCTCCTATGTGTATCTAAAAGCTGCCAATCAAATTTGTCTTCCTCCTAGCAGCCTTTCTTCCACTTTAATTTATATTATATTATCAGACTGAAAGTGCTCTCTGCCCATTCTTCATTTAACCTTTGTGTTAATCTTGGTTCTTGGCATGGACTGAACGTACAGTGTGGTCAATGAAATAAACAAGCAAATTTGATAGCAATCTATTGACTTTCTGGAACTCGAGATTGACCTTTTGGAAAATGTCAATTGCAAAGATCTGTATTTGTTTTGGGTGATCCTGGCTGGGATGCGAAGCCAATTTTGTCATGAGTGACAATGAATCTGTTAGCCTTCTCTTCCATTGGTGAGAACCAGTTTGGTGAGAACCAGTTTGAGGCTGTGGTTAAGACATCAGGCTGGAAAACAGGATATGCTGAATTCTACTCCTGCCTTAGGCACAAAGCCAGCTACATGACCTTGGGCCAGCCACACACACAGCCCTTGGAAGGAGGCAATGACAAACACTTTTGAAAACCTTACAAGAAAACTGCATGGGCTTGTCCAGGAAGCTGGACTCACAAAAATGAATGTACAATACAAGATGGTCTAGCCTGGTGGGGGCCAAGCTGTATGTTCCTGAAAGCCAAAGACTACTAATCTTGGAGAAAAGCCATAACTCAAAAAACGGAGGACATTTTGGCTTTGTAAAAACATTACATTTAATTAAGCGCCTGTTTTGGTGGTTGCTGCTTAACAAAGACATTCAAAGTTACGTGGTCAGTTTCCCCTTTTTCGCTTCAGACAAGTGGTGGCAGGGGAAAACACTAGGACTCCTCCAGCCAGTGGTGGAGCCTAACACCCCGTGGAAGGAAATTTCTATGGACTTCATAGTACAGCTACCGGAAAGCTCGGAAAACATGTAATTTGAATGATCACTGATTTGTTCTCTAAGCAAGTGAATTTTGTACCCTGCCAAAACATTCCTTCTGACTAAATTTTTCATCCATTATGTCTATAGATTGCATAGTGCTCCGCAACAAATAATCGCTGAGTACAGAATGCAATTCATTTCAAAATCCTGGCAAGAGTTTTTAAAACTTCTTGGGATGCCCCAAGGGTTTAGTTCCAGTCATCAAAAATGAATGGGTTTGTGTGAACGTACAAATGGGGTTCTAGAACAATACCTGAGATGTTATATAAATTACCAGCAGGACAATTGGATAAATCTCCTCCCATTTGCTGAAGTGGCCTATAATAATTCTACTTAGTAGCACCGGGTTTGCAGTGCCACCGACACCAAAAGCACTCATAATTGAAGGAGAACAGCATTTTGAGATTTAGATTCTCATAAACACCGAGGAAAGCTCCAGTATTTAGTTGTGTGGAAAGACTTTCCTCCCTCTGAAACTGAATTGGTAGACCTTAATCATTTTAAAGATGTAGAAGGGGGGATGGGGTAAATGCTTGAGAGTTAGTTAGCCATAACAATGCAGCGGCGTGGGAATTCAAGGACAATGTGTAATAAGGTTTTGGCGGGCTGAGGAATTGGGGAGAAAAGCCTGCATCTTGTGCTAATTGGGGAATGTGATTTATGGCAGCTTGGTTTGGGGTGGGAATTGCAACTTGTAACTTTGTATTAGGAGAGGGAACTTTCAGTTTTGGGTTCAACTATGTAAGCGCCGATATCTTGTTTCCAGAATAAAATGTTCTTAAAGGAAGAAATCCTTGCCTTGAAGTTCTTTTAATTGGTTTCATCTATCAAAACCATGACATTAACCCAAAACTGCCATCTACTTTGACATCCTTGGGTCCTGAGCTCCAGTCACCTTCCCAAACCAGAAGGGGAGGTCGACAAAGATTCAGGGAAGATCTCAGCATGGAGAGGAAAGAAGCACCCACCACCAGCACCCCGACCACAGCAGCTGCCTCAGCAGAGAAAGCACAAGCCCTTGCGGTGCTGGAGAAAGTGAGTTCGGAAGTTCAGGCAATGGGGCAAGACCCAAAACATGGGAGTTATTGTGGTCTTTGGAGTGGACCCTGCCCAGTGGAGACCCCAAGCATCCCGAGACAATCCAATCAAATAAGAGTTCTTCAAAAGAGGCTGAGTCGGAGTTGCCAGCAGCTGCCTCACGGGAGTCATGCTTCCCCAACCAGAGAGGAACGAAAAGGTTGGCAGCAGCTGAAGATTCTGGTGAGTGGAAGTACCTGTCAGGTGTCCGCAGCCATTCAGTGGAGAAGTTGGTGGAGAAGTTGAAGGGGCTAGAAGTGGGAAGCAAGGGGCAGGTCACCCGCTCCTTGCCTACTAGTGAGCGTGATGACTGGCGGGATCAGCACCAGTCTAGGCCCAGAAGAAGCCCTAGCCCCACTGATGGAGCTCGGGAGGCTACTCCACGCTCGGAACCACCAATATTGACCTCAAGCCCAGTGGGGAGGAAGAGTCCCAACCATCACTCACGGTGTGACAGTCCATGTCGTCATCGGGCATCAAGGAGCCCAGAACGCCGCTTGTGACGTGACAGCCCCAGCTATTGGAGAAGCCCTGATCGACATCGTTCGTCACGGTCTCCCAACAGGCATCGCAATCAACAGGATCGTTACAACAGCCCCGAGAAGCACCTTCGTGGCAGTCCTGGCCATCAGAGAAGCCCTGATCGGCGTCGGTCATCATGGTCTCCCAACAGACATCAACGTCGCAGAAGCTCCAGACAGCGAGATCATTATGATAGCTCCGAGAGACACCAACACTACCGAAGCCCAGACCATCACCGGTATCTTGTTTCCTAATAAAATGTTCTTTAAGGAAGAATTGCTTGCTTTGAAGTTCTTTTAATTAGTTTCATCTATTGGAACCATGACACCAGGCCAGCAACAAATGCAACCAAACAAGCCTGCATGATTGTTTCTGCATCAACCTGGAATCCCCAAGCCCATGAACAGAGACATGTCTTCAGGGCCTTTCAGAAAAGCAACAGGGTGAGGGCCAGTCTTATCTCTGGGGAATGATGTTCCACAGGGAGGGAGTCCCTACAGAGAAAGCCCTTTTCTTGGCCATCCCAGATATGTTTCCATAATTGATGGGACCTGCAATACATCTTGAGAGGCAGTCTGTCAAATAACCTGGCCCCAAGCCATGAAGGGCTTCAAAGGTGATAACCAACACCTTGAAGTGAACCCAGAAGCAAATTGGGAAACAATGCGACTCCCACAAGAAGCAACATATGCAGAAATTTGGGTTCACACAAAACTATGTGGTCTGCTGTGTTTTGAGCCAACTGAAGCTTCCGGATACTCTTCAAAGGCAGCCCCATGTAGAGTGCTTTACAATAGTCCAAATGGGAGTTGACTAGGGTGTGGGTGACCTTGAGCAAGACCAGTTGGTCTAGGAATGGGCATAAAGGGCACAAAACACACAGATTTGCATAGGCCCTCCTGGCCACAATTGCCACCTACTCCTCAACATATGATTATGTCCAGGATTATGTCCTCCTGGACATAATCAATATAGTTATGGGAGAAATGAGAATGGACATAACCAGCACAGTATTAGTACCTAACTCTCAGGTAGACAGAAAAACCAAATCAACCCCAAATCTTTCTTGAAAGAGGTTCAAGTTAGATGTCAAAAGGAATTTTGAGTGACGTATTCGACAATCGGTTTCCTTGGTACACGGTGGACCTTACTGAGAACTGTAGGTACTCAAAAGAGAAGTAACCCTCAAAGACTCGTCTCCGAACTACCTGTAGACAACTCAACCAGACAGTCTTCGACCCGACTCGTCCAGTCTAATGTACTGGAGAGTCCGTGTCGTTAAAAGAGTCTTACTAGTGTTTACATCCACACTGATACAGGTCAAGTTAAAGGCCTGGTTTGTTTTTTCTCTTGTTAACCCAAGACACATTTTCATTACAATTTGTAGGTAGGGTTGCCAGGTGTCCACTATTTGAGTGGACAGTCCACTTTTTTCACATTATGTTCACTATTTTTTTCCCCACAAAATAGTGGACTTTTTTTTTATTCAAAAGCTTTAGGATGAAATGGTACGTAATCTAAAGCTGTACAGTCTACTTTTTTTACTACTTAACCCCCCCCCCCCGCTTGTCCGCTATTTTTTGGAAACAGACCTGGCAACCCTATTTGTAGGATGAGCAATAATTATTCTTGCTCAACAGGCAAAGTCTTCAGCTAGTTATTGGTTTGTTTCCCTTCCTGCCCACCAAGAAGTTTATATATGTGTCATAGATGCCTTTCAATCAATCAATCAATCAATCAATCAATCAATCAATCAGAATAGAGCTGGGAGGGACCTTGTGTCAACCTCCACCTGAAATCCCCACCCAGAAACACACCGGAGTCAAAGTGTTCTCTGATGTTCTCCTTAATCATAGCGGCAAGTTAGAAAGTGAAACCTGGCTCTAATGAAAAGGCGGAAAGCGGTTAATTAAATGAATCATTCTCCTCCTCTCTCCTCTGATCAGTCAGGTCACAATGTCCAATTAAATCACAATTGTTTGTTGTGAGACACATTCTCTGTTCGCCCGAACAGACCCTTCACTTCTCTGCTTTCTCATAATGATTCCACTGTTACACCATCCCCCCTCTCCACCCTGTAGGCAAGCTAAGGGCACGCAGCAGTCTTAAAGGTAGCCAGGTTCATAGCTTGAAAGATCGCCTCCCTTACGGAGGAAAGGTAACCTGGAAAATACAAGACATTCATCAAAGTCCATTATTTGCTTCTTTCTTTGGGCCCGGTCTCTGGGGATATCTAGCATGGAATTGTTTTACTAAACAATCTGTGTGTACATGTTGTGCCATCTGGATTCTGACATGGGATACCCCTCCCATTGAATTAAATACTGCAGTTTCCCTCTATGCATTCTAGAATCGAGAATCTGCTTAATCTCATAATGCATTTTCCCCCCCTTTCACTATTAGGGTGGGAGCTGCCATCCCAACTGGCCGCAATGTGGATTCTTTATAGGGTTTTAACAAACTACAATGAAATACAAGATGCACTTTCCCCAACCACTTAGTTTCAGTTCCAGCGTTACCAGGTTTATCACTTTCACTATGGGAAACAGACCTATGTACTTTGGTCCTAATTTCTTGCAACTTTGTCTAAGGTTTAGATACTTTGTAGATAGATATACTTTGTCTCCCACCTGAAATGTCTCCTGCAGGGCTCGTTTCTTATCTGTTTTTTTCTGACTCTCAGCTGCTTTGGTTAGGGCTCTCTTTGCGTCATTCCAAGCTTGCTGGAATGAGTTCATCCAGTTGCTCAGGGTGCTTGAAGAGGGGGTTTCCTGGGGGCATTCGGACATTGGCCTGAACTCCACTCCAGTAGCCAACTTGAATGGAGTAAATCCAGTACTACTATGTACTGCATTGTTGTACACTATTTCTGCAAACGTCAGTAACTCTGCCCAATTCATTTGCTGATAATTAATATAGCAATGCAGGTACTGTTCTACTATTGCATTGGATTGTTCTGCATTCCATTAGTGCTCGGATGGAAAGTGGAAGACAGACCCTAAGAAGACCCTATTAGCCTTACAAACTCCCTCCAAAACGTAGCAGTGAACTGAACCCCCCAGTCTGAAATTATATGCTTAGGCGCCCCATGCAGTTGGTAGATGTGTTGCAAGAATAGCTTTGCCAGTTTCTGAGCTAAATGAAGTCCAGTACAAGTGATGAAATGAGCTTGCTTGGAGAACAGGTTGACTACCATGCAAATTACGGTATTCCCCCCACTCTCAGGCAGCTCCACAATAAAATCCATGGCTATCTCCTCCCACGGTCTGGAAGGGTCAGCCACCTTCTGCAATAGTCCTGGACTTTTCCCTGGTAACCATTTACTGGCTGCACACATCACACAACTCACTACATAGTCCTCAATGTCTTTTTTCATCTTTGGCCACCAGAATTGACGATTTACAAAGTGCAGGGTCTTCAGGAAACAAAATTGACCTGCTTGTTAGGTGTCGTGGCCCTGTTGCAGGACCTGCAACCGAAGGCTGTCTGGGACATACAATTTGCTCCCTTTCCACGCCAATCCATCTCTCATAATCAACTCTGCCTGGTGGGTTTTGAACCATGCATCAGTCTGTAGCTCCTGCTTCAGTTGCTGGATAAATTCATCAGTGGGGCTTAAGCTCCCTCTTTTCTTCTGCTGCTGGCTGTCGGTTGGGGATAATGGAGCTTACCACCTCCTGCTTTGAGTCTTGTACTGAGACGTGCAGGATAGGGCATCGGTTAGAAAGTCCACCCCCCGGGATATATTTCAGCTCAAAGTTAAATCTTTTGAAGTAGTGCACCCACCTGACTTGCTTAGGGGAAAGCTTACTGGGGGGGTTTCAGGGCTTCCAAGTTCTTACGATCAGTCCATACCTCGAAAGGGTGATTTCCCCCCCTCC